GGGTGGTCATCTGCCTTGACCAGGCACAACTGGGAGGAAATTATTTTTTAGTCTATTACCTATCATCTAGTTTTTGACCAGATGGCAAATCAGAAAACAAGTATATCTAAGCATTGGGAGTAATTTTACACATGACTTGTGTAATTATAAGCTGTCTGGTGTTTTCCTCACTCTGCACTCATATGTACAGAATCAAAAAATAATAAGACAATGATAAATGTAACTTTGTGCATCAATAATGTTTTTTCCCTATCCTGTTAATCATCTCAAAACCACTATCACTGATCTTGTGGGGGCCCTGAACCCCTGCTGTAAAACATCATCAGGCAGATTCCCATGACATTTCCTGAGCACATTCTTTTTTCCCAGAGAAGGACTCCTTTTGGCTTTGGTAGTTCAGTGTCAGTATGTCGTTTCTTCTCTCAACTGATATTGTTGTCTGTAATTAACACTGCAGCCTCTAGAGGTTGACAGTTCCATGACAGTGATCCTTGACCATTTCTACTAATATAAATCACACTGCAAATGAAACCATAGGAGGCCCTCTGCGATAAATGTACCCATAAATCAGACAAACTGAACAAACCCAGAAAAACAGGTGAAGGCAGGAAGAGAGAGAAAAAACAGACCTCACTCTGATGAACTGTTATTTCCAGACACACAGTGTCAGAAACAATCCCTGTGCAATAACCCTGTGACTCAAACATCCACTGTACCTGTAAATTGTTCTCATTGTTTTAAAAAAATGTAAATATCATCAATCTTGAATTTCCTATCTATCTAATCATCAATCAATCAATCAATCAATCAATCAATTTACACATGCAGTGCATACTGTTTATACTATCATATTCACCTACCCTTAGGTATTTAAAGCAACCTGCAACATAAATAATAATAATAATAATAATAATAATAATACCTGTTTCCTGTAAAAAACAGGCAGCTAGGGTGGAACTATTGGGAGCCAATAGCGCTGAATGTGTTACGTCCCCTGTCAAGCAGCTATAACAGTCTTATTAGCTGACTCTGCCAAACTGATAAATTTGTGCTTTGTACAAATGATAAAGTTCTGTTTTTGTAAAGTAATCAGTGAGGCCCGGTCCCCAGAAACACTCACTCAACAACTACCCTGTTGCTAGCTAGCTAACTAATGAATCTTTGCTCTGTATTGCTGTTGAAGATTGACTGACAGGTGGATGTCATGATATTATTGGTTGAAACTGGTTGGTCCATGCGTTACATTTAGTTTTACAGGAAGAAAAAATATATTTTATTATGGTAAAAATATACATACATATTGTAGAATTGTATTAAATTAAAAAGCAGTAGAATGATGTAATGGTAAAGGGTTAAAGAGGCATTTTCCCTTTCATCTGGACTATGCTGAAAAATTTGTATATCACCATTAAACACTGGCTGACAGGAAGTTAATATATCATTAGGTGACCTTCAACAAGCCTAACTGGTCAGTCTTTTGTGTACTATTATTACTATTGTGTCTTTTGTGTACATTAATACAAAGAGAGATTTTATAAATGCTCAGTGTCTTCTGGGGACACAAGCAGACATTCGTTGAGACAGCAAGGTGACTGTTTGCATGCAGACGGTAACAGATCAGCTGAATTACGATGCCCACCTGTGTCACACCAACCCATACACACACACATACGATCTTTTCAAACCCCCTTTTTCCCACTCTCACACTCTGCAACTACTCTGTGATGTTGCTATAGTAACATGCTGTGTGAGGAACGCACATGCACAGCAGTGTCATGGTAGTAACTGCTGAGGTAAGAGGCAAACCACTACATTCCAATGCAGCCAAGGATGCTTTAGGAACAAAAATCACTGTAACACACATTTCCCCTTTTACTATTCCTGTAAACATGAACTGGTTGCAACAGGGACAGTTGTTCTGTGCATGTGTAAGAGTATTACTTTAATAACTCCTTAACACTTAATACTGTGCAGCACTGGTCCAATAAACTAACACAGCGACATTCAGGACTGTTTTATCACAAAAGTACTGAATATTAATTGTGAGAGTATATAACTAAATGTGTCATGCATGTTTGTATTAAGACTGGCATGTCTCATCTTGTTTCTAACTTGAAGTTGCATAATTTGTAAAAGAAATTGTCAGAATTTTGTCCCAATCCATCTAGTATACACTCCTGAACAAAATCTTAAGACCGGCAGAAAAATTACAAGTATTCGCATTTCACATTGGTGGAACATAACCAGGTTGTANNAAAATGCCAAAAGAAGAAACAGGAGCAAGAGACAAAAAAATAGAGTAGGCAATTTATTGAAAATTGAATTTAAACTCAAATAGGCTGTTTATCAGCTGATCAAAAGTTTAAGTTCCACCAACACGAAATGCGAATACTTGTAATTTTTCACCCGGTCTTAAGATTTTGTTCAGGAGTGTATGTTGAGTTATGTTAGAAGATAATTGAAAACATACCAAATGTACCACATTTCATGGCAATCCCTTCAATAATTGATGAGATCTCAGCCTGGCTCCACTGATGTGCCACGGTCTTGTTAGCTTTTACAAAAGAGCAATAAAAGGTAACCTGACTGGTAACACCAAACAAACTGGTATGAGATGTGCATAAAAGGAGGACTCTGCAGCGGGTGATAAAAACCACCCAGATCATTAAACATTGGTACTCAGCTACATAGCATCAGTGATATTGGTGAGGTGAGGTGCCTGCGCAGAGCCCAAAGGTTACTAGAAGACTGTACCCACCCCGGCTACAGCCTGTTCACCCTGCTGCCATATGCAAAGAGGTACAGAAGTATCCACTGCCATCCTCAGCACTCCACCATTTAAAATAGTCATTAGTCATTTCTATGACCTATTATATATTCACCCATCTACTGTATATACTTTTGTATATCATGTATTGTTTGTGGCATAAAAAGTAACTAAAACTTAATCCGTACAGAACTACCTATACAGATGTTTTCTTTTATGGAGACAGACTTTGTCCATTAAAATAGGAAAGTAACATCAGAAAACAACTCAAAGGTGTGCAGTATGTGTCTGGTTGTGAAAAGTATCTCTGGCTCTCTCTGACAAAGTCGACCTAATTTGTATAAATTACATGTGGTAATACCCTCTCCAGACTCAGAGCAAGGAGCTTGGTCAGTATTTTACAGTTAATATTATTCAGGCTAACAGGTCTAAAACGTCCTGGGTCAGTCAGGTCCTTGTCTTTCTTAAGAATTAATTAAATCAGTGCATTCTTAAATGTTGCTGTTAGCTGCCCTAATAATAGTGCTATTTGATCATTTTGTTAGTGATGGAGCCAGTATCTCAGGATCTGGCTTGTAATAGTCTGCTGGAAAGCTATCTAACCCAGGTGACTTTCCTGATTTTATTGATTAGATAGCTGCCCTTACTTCCTGTTTCATTATGGATCCTCTTTCTGGTCTGATGATAATTCAGGGGATGAAAATTCATGTGCCCGGTTCCAGGTACCGCCCTTCTCTCTGACTGGTCAGGTACACCTACCATTAATTCATCCATCAGTCCAACTAGCTGTACTATTTCTGACTCCCCCAGTGGAGGGAGGGTGTCATAGACATAGTATCCCAGCCTTTTCCTTTCATCAAAATTTGTTATAACCCCAGTGCATACTAAGCCATGTTACTATCTCAAATTCAGTGTTTATTTCTTGTATTTTAGGTAAGCTTTTTTGCAGTCTAGCGCATAGCATAAGTGCAGGAAAGGTTCTGACCGAGGCTTGCTCAACTTTTAATGGAGCACAGATAAAAAGAAGGACTTAGGAAGGGTCAGTTTCTGACAAATTGTTAAGTATACTGTTATCGCTTTAGGCTACATATGCCATGTGAGAATATGAAACTTGACAGGTGTAGCAACAGTATTAATGAATTGGCACCCTTCTCAAAATCAGCAATGTTCAGCCAATACACAGTGATTTGAAGTAATGCTGGAATATTTCCTTTCAAATGTTTGGTGCAACTTCTTCAAGATCGGGCTGGTTGGTGTTTGCAAGGCTGTGGCTATAATCACATCCTTGTTTACTAATGTACTGCTCCATATATAACTGACACAATTATTATTCTAAAGTGAGTAATAGATTGATTTAATTTACTAATCAACATCTTTTTGGTCATCACTGACAGTCGAGACTTGCACAACTGTAATTATCACCTCTATTAAATGCAACATATTGCATTGTGCGATTGTAAGCAGAAAGTAGTGTACTATATGCCATGGATGTAATTTTTTTCTAGCACTATATAAGGGCTAAAATTTTGACACAGGTTAAGACTTATTGACAGCCCAAACTTTAAACTGAAACTTTAACTTCTGCACCATCAGTTTAATGTACAGAGTAGGGCAACCCCAAACTAATGTCAACTAGCAGTCATTAAAAAAGACAATAGTCGACTAGTTGAAGCATGGTTATGATATTTATTAATTTGTTTTAATATATAGATTTGAACAGCCGTCTGTTCGAAAGAAGCAGTTCTTTGTGTCAGAACAACCATTGGGGGCAGCTGGGCAGCCCTAGTAGTAGATCAGTCTTTTGCTTTGTTGAATTTGATTTACAGTTCCCCTGATTTTCCTTTAGCATGATCAAATCACTTATGTTCCACTGGACTATTGGATGTACTTTGCTCCTCTCTGCTATGCCTCTGATCTGACATCCCATTACTCTGGAGAGTCAAGACACAGAATGCACACTCACATTCAGGACATAGCAGGGTCACATAGCAGAGATAGCAGTGCAGTTTGACTGCCCTGGACACATTAGCTGTTGTGTGCACGCAGCCTCTCATGCAAAAGTCGTTTTGCATAACTGTTTTTCAGTTTGGCTACTTATTTCGGTTAAGAAGATGATTGTCTCACTAGACAAAAACACACTCTCAGACTGTTCCTACCTTTGCAGATGGCTGGGTAGCTGCTCTCAAGCTCTTTCAGAGTTCCATTCCAGGTAAAATTATTACGGCCATAACCAAACATTATGACTGTTTACTGTTTTTCTTTGCAGGTATGTGTATACCCTGTCTGTCTGTCTTGTCTGTCTGTCTGTCTGGTTATCTCTGCGTGTATTTGATCCAGCTGGTTTAGGATTAAATAAATAGACAGGTAATAAAAAAAGTGATCTCCTCCCTGTGTCCCTTGTCTTCTCTTGTCACTGGGAGCAAGTGTGAGGGAACCCCAGGCTGGTGTGTATAACTGGAGGGAGAGTAAGTCTGCCAGCAGCACTTATAAGCACCTGGCATAGCTGTAAAAATGCCCTTGTGCCTGTTGCCTGCCCATTGGTTAGAAGCCCAAATGTCAAACAGCTCTACAGTGTGTTTGTGGGTGTGCAGGGTGGTAGGTGGTGTGAACGTATAGGCCCTCTGTGTGTGCGTGTAGGGGGAGGGTGGTATACGGTGACTCAATGGCTCCACTGTTTCCTACTGACAACCTGCTGTGAAATACATCAAGCTGAAGTCGGTGTGTGTGTGTGTGCGTGTGACAGAGAGAGAGGGTTGGTAGAGAGAGGTCACAGGAGCGAGTGAAGGGAATGCATTTGTGGTGGTCATTTGTCTTTGAATGGAGTCCAAGGGTCTAATGTTGCAGCCCCCACCTCACTTGCTGCTCTGCAGTGCTACATAAATAGTCAGAATAAGTGTAAATTATGCGAAATAGATCCCACAAGTAGGGTATTTCCATTAATGTTAAGTTGGCTACTTTGAGGGCTTACAATATTTAGCTTCATTATTATTATAGGATGCTGAGTAATATAAACATCCTCACAAACTTTTATTTCATCACCCCTTTATTATTGCAACAGCCTCCATGCTAGCAGCTTGTTGAAGCCGTACTTAGGAACAGAACTGCTTTGAGCCAAATGCTAAATCAAAATGCTTCCATCAGCATGGCAACATGCTTACAATGACAAACTGATATTTAGCAGTGAACACAAAGTACAGCTGAGGCTGATGGGAATGTCTTTATTTTTGCAACAATTTGTTCATAAATCAAAGTAAGTATGATGAAAGCAAGTTTCAAAAAGTCAAACAATATATCCAAAGCTATAACAGTGAACCACATTTCATGTAAAACCATCAAACAAGGATGTTACAGTTTGAAACACATGTTGAAAAAACAACTTACTGAGCAGTTGACTGGCATTCCCACTAAGTCCCACTGCTAGCAGGACCACAGTACACCTGTTCTTTACACTGACAATGTCATATCAGGCTTCATCTATTTAGGTAAGTGTAAATCCCCTGTATACCTGTCCATATGCACTGCTACACCACTGAACTTCACAGAGGGTCACAGAGAGAATGTATTTATACACTATTGAAAATGTAGCAAAGAAGAAAAAAGAAATAAAAAAAATGTAAAGATAATTAATAAATACAACTTTAAACAATTACAACAAATAAGAGCAGTTAAGCAAGAGCCACAAGATAAAAATACATTTTAATTAAAAAAAAATGGAAGAAGATAGTTTCCTTTCCTGAGATCTTTAGGAGTTCTAGCTATAGTGACAAGTCAAGATTTTGGGAACAGACAGACAGACAGACAGACAGACAGACAGACAACTTTCATTGTTATGCAGATGATACGCACTTATATATATCGATCAAGCCCGATGAAATTAATCAATTATCTAAATTACAAACATTTCACACTGCAATGTTAGAATAGAATTTAGAATAGAATTTAAAATCCT